TGCGCCCTCCCAGCGCGGGGAACAGGGCCCTTAATAAACTCCGAGTTGTGACCCGGTGCGCTCTGAGCGCCCAGCGGTAAAATGGTGGCCCTAACCTTGGGCTGGCCCTGACATCTAGAAGTTAGCTCCTCCCTCAACAGGGAAATGTAATTGGAATGTTCACCCCAACCTCCCCCAAAGGCCAGAGCATGGCAAGGCCAGGACGGCAGGCGGCTGCGTGCCTAACAGACTTAATTTTCCAAGGCGACCGACTGTGTGCTGGGTGCGTGCGCGACAAGGCGCCGGGCAGAGGGCCCGTTAACCCAGAGATGGCTCCGCCCAGCCCTGGAATCCCGGCTCCGCAGGTTCCCTAACCTGCATCTCTAATAAGTTCCACGTGATACTCATGCACGTGGCCAGGGGCCAGGTTGACAGGGGTCACTGGGCTACAGGCCGAGGTGACCTCCGCAGGGATTTGCTGCCTCACTGGGCAAAAGCACCCAGAACTAGTGCACACATTGGAAAATGGAACAGAATTCGTTGTCAGCGTGGAAGTGGGGCTGATGGTAGCTAGTGATGTGAGTAGCTAAGTCCTATGATCATCCCATAGCTTCTTTATAACAAAGTGTAGGGGGCAGTGGCAATATGGTGACCTGTGGGGACTTGTTTTCAAGCTGCACGTGTATCGCAAACATATTGGTTTTTATTCATACTTGAGAATGTATGTATTGATGGAGGTGCGGGGGGAGGCTCCCTAAAACCAGCTCCCCAAGTCCTTGTATGTGGGGGGAGGGGGGTCAAAGGAGCAGGCCAGATCTCATTGTTTCCCATAATAATTAGCTTGATTGTAAAAAAAAAAAAAAAAATCCACTGGGGCCCTCTGAACAGCACAGGTTCCCAGATCAGGCCGAATCAGTAGGTTTGGGACGAGAGCAAAGACTTTTAATGAGAGACACCACGTGATTCGTATGCTCAGAAGTTTGAGTAATTGGAGGCAAGATCAGTGATCCTGACAGTATGCCCCTGAAGCAGCGGTTCTCAGCCTTCTGGCCCTTTCATACAGTTCCTCATGTTGGGACGCAACCATAAAATTATTTTCGTTGCTACGTCATCACTGTCATGTTGCTACTGTAATGAATCGTCATGTAAATATCTGATATGCAGGATGGTCTTAGGCGACCCCTGTGAAAGGGTCATTCGACCGCCAAAGGGGTCGCGACCCACAGGTTGAGAACTGCTGCGCCTAAAGCATTAATGAGGAAAGGCAAAAGCACTTGAAGACGGGAGTAATTTGGGGCCAAGAAAAGAGGGGGCTCACAAAGCTTTGCGCTTTTTGTACAATAAAAGGCACGCTTTGGAAATGCAATAGGAACGTGAACTTCGGCAAAGAGGAGGGACGATTTCGGTGAAAAGGATGTTCTGCAGCTTGGCCAGCAGGTGGCGCCATAAAACAAGAAACAGATCTTAGGTGCAGCCCGGCCGCGGGGGTAGCAATACCCGGGGTGGACGCTAGAGGGCAGGAGCGACACTCGTTTTCTCTGCCTGACCTCCTCCTCGCTGCTGAAGACACAGGGTTCCCATCTGCAATGGACAGAACCTCAGTTTGTAGCCCTCGCCGGTCTGGCTCAGTGGGTAGAGCGTCGGCCTGCGGACTGAGGGGGTCCCAGGTTTGATTCCCGGTCACAGCGCAGGCCCGGGTTGCAGGCTCGATCCCCAGTGGGGGGCGTGCAGGAGGCAGCTGGTCCATGATTCTCTCTCATTATGGATGTTTCTATCTCTCTCTCTGAAATCAACATATATATATTAAAATCTTAGTTTCTAAAGACAGAAGATGTGATACAGCAAGATGTAGGCAATCCTCGCACCCTCATTCTTTTATTTTTATTTTTAAATGTATATATTTTTATTGATCTCAAGAGGAAGGGAGAGGGATAGAAACATCCACGATGAGAGAGATTCGCGGATCGGCTGCCTCCTGCATGTTCCCTGCTGGGGACGGAGCCCACAACCCGGGCCTGTGCCCTGACAGGGAATCGAACCTGACCTCCTGGTTCATAGGCCGATGCTCAACCACTGAGCCCCGCCGGCCGGGCCAAACACACCTTCTTATGGGAGGTGGCTGGTGCCAAAGAGACCTGAAGTCAGTACCGGGGGCGGGTGGGAGACGGGGGATGGGGCGGGGGAGGTCAGGGTGCACTGGACAGCTGGGTGTCCGGGTCACCTGGTGAGAATCAGACACAAAGTCGTCTTGAAGCTGAAAGTCCTGAAAAGCTGGTGAAACGCCACCGTGTGTAACATCGCTCCCTCGATGGCCCCCCTTTCACTTTCCTGATCCCACACGAGGGGCAGCAGCCAGTGGTTATTTGGGCTTGTGTGCGTGCATGTGTGTGCATGTGTGTTGTGTGCGCGTGTGTATATGCGTGTGCATATGTGTTGTGTGCGCGTGTGTATATGTGTGTGCACGTGTGGTGTGCGCGCATGTGTATATGTTTGCACGTGTGGTGTGTGCACGCCTGTGTGCCTGTTTTCTTTTCCTCACTGAGCTTCCCTCCCCCATCATCCCCAGTTGTTGCCATAAACCACTTCCCCTTAATGTCATCCCTAAATGGAAACAGAACAAAGAACACAGGACGAGGGGAACCAGGGAATTTTCCGAAGGCACATTTGATGTTGGAGGGTAAACAGGAAAGAGGAGCCTGGGGAGCGGGCGTCGCCGGCGGCCAGCTGTGAGCCTGCCTTCCGTTCCATTCCTGGTGGGAGGCCCAGCGCGTGTCAGATTCACTCGCCACACCAGTCAGTTCACGCAGATCCACAGAAACGGACTTAAAAAAACTTTTCCTTTTTTATTGACGTCAGAGAGGAAGGGAGAGGGAGAGAGAAACATCAATGACGAGAGAACCACGGACTGGCCGCCTCCTGCACGCCCCCCACTGGGGACCGAGCCTGCAGCCAGGGCCTGGGCCCTGACCGGGAATCAAACCGTGACCTCCTGGGTCATGGGTCGACGCTCAATCACTGAGCCACACCGGCCGGTCTCTGTGCCATTTTTTAAAAGATTGTGTTTCCTGTTTATTGTTGACCTTCATACAGATGGCCCCCCCGCCCTCCGCTC